ACAGTCAATGTGTCTCAGAGATGAGACTCGAACCCAAGCCTACCAGACTCTGAGGATGGCTTTCTATCTACTGTTCTGTACTGTCCTCTCCCCCCTCCTTTGAAGCACAACAAATTGGCCTAAAATTAAACGGGAAGGAAAGAAGGAAAGATGCATTTATTTAGTGCCTGCTATGTGCCAGGGACTGTGCTAAATACTTTACAAATATTATCTCATTTGATTCTCACAACAACCCTACAATGTAGGTGTTATCATTATCTCCATTTTATAGTTGAAGAATCTGAAGCACTCAGATTAAGTAGCTTCCCAGGGTCACACAAGGAGAAAATGCCTGAATCTGAATTTAAATCCAAGAGCAAGAGGAAGGAAGATCCGTGGATTACCATTGATAAATGGCACAGTTATTTTAATTACCTCAAGCCTTTTTGTGAAACAAAAGCCCATATTTTTCAACGTAGCATTATTTTTGCTCTAATGATGTATGGCTTTGAATCATGGGATTCTTCAGTCAGGATGCTTGGAATGGCTGAAGCTGAAGATCACCCAAAGGGCAGTGGAGAGGCACACGGGAGTGCAAGTAGACTGCCACACGTTGCCAAGAAGGAATCACACAGGAGAGGATGTGTGAAAGATGTCCTCAAAGAAATGTCACCAGGAAAAATAAGGAAGGACTGGTCACATGGGGAGCGAAGAATAGTCAGTGCTCAGCCAGCATCCTCCATTGGTGTCCACATGCTCTCTGGAGGATACAAAGAGAGCTCAGTGAATGGGTCCTCCCATTGCAAACTTACAGGGGGAAATGGATGAGAATTGCACCAGAGGAGCAGGTGGTTTGCTGTGCACTGTGGGGAGGAAACATTCCCATCAGTTATCCCTTGGAGTATTGGAGCATTTTCCAACAAAATAACAAAACTTGTAAAGACCTGACTCAAGGCAAGCTAGAATTTAGAAACCTGTCCCCCTATTCCCTAACTCCCCTGCCCTTCTGCATATAGATAGTATTACCTCTCAGACTGATGCCCCCTAAGCCGAGCAGCCCCAACGTGTCTGATCTGGGGAAATGTTTTAGTTGAAAAAGCTTCTTCGCAAGGCAGCGAAAATAAGTAAGAAACAAGGGTATACTGTTAATAAAGGAAATTATCACACATTCTGCCCAAATTGGGTCAGAAAAAAATTGAAAGCCACATTTGCCAGAGACTTTGGAATTTAACCCAATCTAAAAGTAATTAGCATAACCACCCAAAAAGAGGTTTTCATTATTACATTTCTTTCCTCCTAATAATTTTTGAGAGGTCATGAGACATAGTGGATAGTAAGATGTCCTCAAAGCTAGAAAGAACTGGACTTAAGTCATCCCTGTGACAGATTCTGACTGTGTGACCATAGGAAAATCACTTAACTTCTCACTACTATCAGCTACTTTTTCCAGAGAACATACTGACCTGTATTGGTAGAGGGAATTACCTATACTGGTGAAATCACAGTTTGAGCCCTCATCCCTACTAATTTTTTTAGAATTTCACCAAAGAAAACTTATATTTATACCTGAATTGACCCTAGATTTAAAATGATAAACCATGTCTTATTTATGTTCAGTTTATCAACAGATGATTTAAGTCCATACCCATGGAAGAAAGAAGAAGGGTTTATGAAGGAAGATGTTGCAATTTCTTTGGTAAAGCCTCCTCAAAGCACCTGTGTCAAGGAAACAGTAGTAAAACTGATGGCTCAATTAAGGTAAAGGCATCTCTGTACTGCTGTCTTGATCTTACTGGCACACATTTTAATTCTTCACATTAAGAACTCCTAAGACTTTCTAATCCTTGATTTTTCTTTCCACTGAATTTGTCACTGGTCAGAACATCCTACTAAACCACTTAGCAGCATGTGGCATCAATACATAAAGTCAGATTGTGGCCCTTCAGCAATACTACCAAGGAACAGCCTGTTGGTTAGAAGAATAAAGTGGGAATTAGTCCTATTCTGTGGGTTTTTAAAATGTGAGTCTGGTTCTTTAAAAAAAAAAACCACATTATTTATTAATTTTAACATTATTTTCTTTTAAATTTTGAGTTCCATATTCTCTTCCTCCCTCCCACCTCTCTCCTACCCCTGAAAAAGCAAACAGTATTATATTAGTTATACATGTGAAATAGTGCTAAACATATTTCCTTATTAGCCATATCACAAGACAAAGCAAAAAAAATAAAGCAAGAAAATGATACTTCATTTTGCACTTAGAGTTCATTAGCTCTCTCTCTGGAGGCGGATAGCATTTTTTCCCCATGAATCTTTGGAATTATTTTGGATCATTGTATTAATCAGGATAGCCAAGTCTTTCATAGTTGATCATAATTACAACATTACTGTACACAGTGATCTTACTTTGCATCAGTGCATATAGGTCTTCATATGTTTTTTCTGAAATCAGCTTCCTCCTGAAATCATTTCTTACAGTACAGTAATATTCCATCACAATCATGTCCCACAGTTAGTTCAGCCATTCCCCAATTGATGATCATCCCCTCAATTTCCAGTTCTTTGCTGCCATGAAAGAGCTGTTATAAGTATTTTTAAAAGGTCCCTTTCCTTTTTCTTTGAACTCTTTGGAGTACAGACCTAGTAGTGGTATGACTAGATCAAAAGATATGCATAGTTTTATACCTGTTTGGGCATCGTTCCATATTGTTCTTCAGAATGGTTAGACTAGTTCACTGTACAACCTACAGTTCTTTAATGTACCAATTTTTCCTCATCCCCTCTAGCATTTGCCATTTCTGATAGGTGTGAGATGGTACCTCAGAGTTGTTTTAATTTATATTTTTCTAATCAGTAATGATTTAGAGCATTTTTATGTGACTAGATAGCTTTGATTTCTTTTGCAAACTACCTGTTCATACCTTTTGACCATTTATCAATTGGGTAATGGCTCTTATTTTTATAAATTTGATTCTATTCCCTATATATTTGGGAAATGAGGCCTTTAACAGAGAAACTTGTTATAAAATTTTTTCTATTACTTCATTGTCTGTGGTACCTTTTAGCAAAATGTAGTCTCCCTGATTATCTCTTCTAAATCTCTTCTAATTAGATCTATTTTTGCTTTCTCTGAGATCATGATTGCCATTGGGGTTGGGTGATAAGTCAGTTGGGGTTAAGTGACTTGCCCAGAGTCACACAGCTAGGAAATATTATATGTCTAAGGCTGGATTTGAACTCAGGTCCTCCTGAGGGCCAATGCTCTTTCCACTGCACCACTTAGCTTCCCCTATCCCTGCCTTTTTTACTTCAGCTGAAGCATAATAGATTCTGTTCCAGCCCTTTATTTTAACCTTGCATGTCTTTCTGTTTCAAGTGTGTCTCTTGTACACAACATATTTTTGGAATTTAGTTTCTAATCCATTCTGGTATACACATCTGTTTTATGGGTTAGCATATCCAATTCATAGTCATAGTTATGAAGATCAAATTTTCTCTTCAGGTCTGGTCTTTTTATCAGAAATTTTAAAGTTCTCCATTTTGTTGAACGTCCATCATTTCTTCTAAAAGATTATGCTCAGTTTTGTTAGGTAGTTGATTCTTGGTTGTAATCCAAGCTCCTTTGCCTTCTGGAATATCATATTCCAAGCCTTCTGATCCTTTAATGTAGAAGCTGCTAATCCTGTGTAATCCTGACTGTGACTCCTTTATATCTGAATTGGTTCTTTCTGGCTGCTTGCAGTATTTTATTCTTGACCTGATAATTCTGGAATTTGTATATAATACTCCTTTGAGTTTTCATGTTGGGGTCTTTTTCAGGAGGTCATCAGTGCATTCTTTCAATGACTATTTTACCAACTGATTCTAGGATGTCAGGGCAATTTTCCTTGATAATTTCTTGAAAGATGCTGTTCAGGCTCTTTGTTTGATCATGGTCTTTAGGTAATCCAATAATTCTTAAATTATCTTTCCTGAATCTGTTTTCCAGTCAGTTATTTTTTTCAGTGAGTTATTTTATGTTGTCTTCTATGTCAATAAACTTTTACTATTGCTGGTTGTTAAGGTCAGGGATACAAGAAAGGAAAAAAAATAGCCCCTGCCCTCAAGGAGCTCACAGTCTAATGGGAGAGACAACATGCAAAAGACTATGTATAAACAAACTCTAGATTAGATAAATTAGAAATAAAGACAGAAAGAAGGCTTTAGAATTAAGGAGGTATCTGGGGTGGGAAAGGCTTCCTGCACAAAGTAGTTGGGATTTTTAGCTGGAACTTGAAGGCAGCCAGGAGGCAAAGATGAAAGGGGAGAGCATTCTAGGCATGGGAGACAGCCAGAGAAAATGCCTGGAGTCTAGAGATCGAATGTCTTGTGTGAGGAACAGCAAGAAGAACAGTGTCACAGGATCACAGAGAGAGGGGAGAGAAGTATGAGGTATGGGGGAAGGCAGGTAATGAAGGCTTTGAATGCCAAACAGAAAATTTTGTATTTGATCCTGGAGATGGGAGAGGGTCATGAGTAGTGGGGGTGACATGGTCAGACCCATAGCTATAGGAAAATCACTTAGAATGGAAGATAGACTGGAATGGGGAAAGAGAAGGCAGGGAGAACAAACATCCAGCTATTTCAGTAGTCCAAATTTGAGGTGATGAGGGTCTGTACTAAGGTGGTAGCAGTATTTGAAGAGATATGGGGGCATATGTTATCCAAAGGGGAAATTGATAGACCTTGGCAAAAGATTGGATATAGTGGGGAGTGAGGGGTGGAGGATGACTCCCAGGTTGTCAGCTTGAGGGACAGGATGAGACTAGAGGGATGGTGGCCCCTTAGGTCATAATAGGAAAGTTAGGAGGGTGGGGGAGGGTTTGGAAGAATCCTCTTATTCATTGGATTGAGTCTGTCCTATAACTAGGTAAAAAAGAATTTTGAAATAAAACAGAAACCATTTTCCTTAATAAAATTGTAGTTCTTTTAGCACTTACAATCATCCAACGATGAGCAAATGAAAATCTCGCATTGATAGGAAATGGGTAAATGCATCAGTACTTCCCTCCACCAATTTGTGTCCTTAATGCAAGTTGCTTTGTAAGGGAAAGCTGGAGGAGAATATTATAGAGAACATGGATTTTTGTGAGGTTTTAGGAGCAGAGATCACTCACTTGGAATAAAATAATTTTCTCATTTAAACCAAGTTTCTGAATTACTTTCACAATATGTTTTATGTTTTCCCACATCTCACCAGAGTAAGACAGTTTCCTCTACTTCTATTTCATGGCTTGGCCCTTTTCTGCCTTACACTGCTTTACGTCCATTAAATACACACACACACACACACACACACACACACACACACACACACACATCCTCATCCAAATTGTAAGCTCTTGCATACATGAAGACTGTGTCTATTTCTGTTTATAATAGGAAAATGAAATAGCACTTCGCTTCAGCCAGTCTGTTAATTTTTAATCTTTACAGTCAATATTTGTCATTTTAATCAAATCGTTCTCCTGAAAAAGAAAATATATATGTGTATATATATATGTATATATATATACATATATATATAATTAAAAGATCAGTGAGATTAATAGATCAGCTATGTGATCTTTTTAAAAAAATACATTTTCATTGATACATCTTCTGATACCTACATTTCCATCATATCACCATCCCTCTCCCAGAAACATCTTATAACAAAGAAGAGAGAAAAAAATTTCAGCAAAACAAACCAACATATCAGAATTGTCTAATATTACATGAAGTGCTTCACCACCTAAAGCCTCTCACCTCTGCAAAGAAGTAGTGGGATGAGAGTAGCCATTCTCTTATTTAGTGAGTCCCTAGCCCAGATCATTTCCAGAGAAGCCATGTTCACTTTACTCTTATTTTGACTCACTCTCAGGACTGCTTTCCTCCCTCACCACTTACTGTCTCACCTTAGAGAAACCTTCACCCTTTCTCCTGATTGGTGACTTCCCAGCCTGGACCAGTCTTTTCAGAGAGGCCCCAGCCGTGCTCAGTCATTCCCATCTGGACTCACTTTCTAGACTCCACATCTGCTAGCCACCTTGATGTACCTTTTCTTGTTCTCCCCCCTTTCCAGCTTCCCTTCATGTGTTGTCTTCCCCCAATAGAACGTGAGGTCCTTGAAGGTTGGGACTGTCATGTTTGTACTTGTATCCTTAGTGCTTAACACAGTGCTTGGCACACAGTAGGACCTTAATAAATGCTCTGAGGATCACATGGGGTATTTGTAAAGCATTTATCACAGTGCCTTGCTCAGAGTTGGCACCTAAATGTTTCTTCACTCCCTCCCTCCCCAACTGTCTTTATCTGTCGGCCTCTCTATCTTTGTCTCTATCGCTGTCTGACACTGTCTGTCTCTGTCTGTCCCTATCTCTTTGTCTGACTCTGTGTCACTATCTCTGTTTGTCTCTGTTTCTCTGTCTGTCTCTTTGTCTCTATGTCTGTCTCAGTGTTTTCTCACATCTCTTCTATGCGGACAAGTTTGGTCATTATAATTTCAAGGAATTCAGATGCAATTCTTTCAGCTGCCCTTTTTATCCACATTGTTTTAGTCACTGTGTATTTCTGTTGTTCAGTCATGTCAGACTCTTTATCAACTTGCCCAGGGTCACACCGCTAAGTTTCTGAGGATAGATTTGATCAACCTTAGGAAGATGAAGCTTCCTCCCTCCAGGCCAGGCACTCCATCCACTGCACCACCTAGCTCACCTGGTCATTGTGTATCTCCTCTATTACCTTGAGCCAAGTGGGCAAGTCATTTAATCCTGTTTGCCTTAGTTTCCTCATCTCTAAAATGAGCTGGAGAAGGAAATGGCAAACCGCTCCTGTACCTTTGCCAAGAAAACCCCAAATGGAGTCATGAAAAGGTGGACACAACTGAACAGCAGCTACTTACTACCTCTGTGACACTTAGGCAGATTATCTCCTGGGCCTTCTTTTCTTAATTTATAAAATGAAGGAATTGAACTAAATGATATCTTAACCTTTGAGCCTGCTCTTCTTTCTCTGAGGGAAACCAGTGCTTTCACAAACATTATGCCTTTCATCTAATGACATAACATTATTATGTGTCCCCTGCAAGGCCTTACATGAGGTTGGAAACAAAGTACCAAATAAATACTTTGAGTTGAATTGAGCTGAATGGTAGCAACTGACGACTGGAAATCAATCAACAAGCACTTATTAAGTGCTTACTGTGTTCCGGGCACGGCACTAATCATTAGGAAAATAAATACAATTGGGAAATCCGGAGTGCTGCCTGGGGAGGAGCAAGATAGGGCTCACATGTAAAGTTGTCAGCAACTTGGATTGCTTATTGTCCTGGCTCTGCCTCTTTACCTCCAGCTGTATCACTTTACCTCTGGGCCTTGGTTTCCTCAACTGTAAAATGAAAGGCAACAGGATCAGGTAGGGAACCTCAAAGTTCCCTTCCATATCTAAATCTGATCCTTTATACAACTGGTTTCTGAAGAGCCTTATGGTGAATGGTCATATGAAAGGAGGGGTTTGGGAGTGTTCATTTTCTTTACTGTTGAGAGGCCCACATAAGTACGCAGTAGCACCACCTCTGCCAAAAGAATGGCAGTTCTGCCATATTCATGTTCATCTTTATTTCTGTGTTTCTAGAGAGATTCTTCTTTATTTCCAGCCTTATTGTAAGCTGTCTAAGGACCTTGACTGCAAATCTATGGAGGAACTCATGGCAATGTGTGAGGTAACATAATTCCTCCTGCACACAGGTGATCACTGAGATTCTAACTGCTTTGTGCTATGAAGACAGTCCTTTAAGGTATCATCTCTGGGTGGCTTAAGTGAATAGAGTTAGTGATCTCAGGACTCAGTGAGATAAATGTTACAAACTGCTACTGCATTTTTAGATTTGGGATTTTTCTGTTCCAAATCATCAGTCCTTCTGAAATAAATGTCATCCAGTTAATTTGTCCTGGTGATGTTATGAGTAAAGCCAATCATGAAATCATGGAGTAGATGGGCTGGAAGAAAGATTGTCCCTGGACCCTTAGCAAAGTCTAGATGCTATGGAGGTATATAGATGTAGTCAGTCCCTCTCTGCATGAAATTAGGCCAGATTCTAAAGACCCGCAGTGTTAATGTTGACCTGCTTTAGGCTGGTGATATTTCTGATTTGAGATGCATATGCATTATTACTCTGTTGTAAACAGCTCATTCCCTAAAAGCTAAAATTCTGTTCTGTTATTATTTATGAAAACAGCTGGAGAATTGCCCTGAGAAGCTAAACAAAAAACTGCAAATGTGTTGCGACCAGGTAAGTCCCTTTTAAATGGAGTCATCTGAATTCTAAAGGAGTGTTGTTTCCAAAGGGGGAGAAAATAATATATAGTGTTGAATGTTAGTTTTGGATGGAAAGCAAATTCGCATTCACTTACCAAGTCTGAGATTAATAAATTTCACATCAAGGGTTACAAAGAGAGAATCCTTTAAACTAAGAAAAGATATTTTCATGGGAGAGTGTTTTTCCATGGGATAAAGTTGGTGGAATACTTGAAAGTGGGGATATAGAAGCAATACACATGCCAACATTCTGAGTCCTTAAAAAAAAAACTAGCTAAATTCTAGAGATGTAGAACTGGAAATGACCTCCAAACATTATTATGTTCCAGGCTGACACTTTATTTAAACTATTTCAGACAGATTAGTATCTTTTTTTTTCTTTTTTTTTCAGGGAGGGGATAGGGGGTGGGGACAGGTTAAAGCTTTCCTAGCAAGAAAGATCAACTTAACCCATTCCAGGAGGAAAATATTATGATTATTGTAATTTTATATGTTGGTCTAAGTAGCAGCTTATATGTACATAGCATTTTACAGTTTACAAATAAATTTCCTCACAACTCTGTAATATAGTCTCCATTTTGTGGGTAAAAAAAACTGAGGCTCAATGGATTTGCCCAAGATCACTAGTGGGAGAACCAGAGTTCTATCTAACCCAGGAATTGTGACTGCAAGTCCAGTTCTCTTGCCACTATGCCCCATTGCTTTTCTTTTTTCTTTTTTTTTTTAATTTTTAATTAATTAATTAAGTTTTTGTTTTCAACATTCAGTTCCATAAGCTTTTGCATTTTCAATTTTCTTCCCTTCCTTCCCCCCTCCTCAAGATGGCGTGCAATCTGATATAGGCTTTACATATGCTTTCATATTAAATATATTTTCTCATTAGTCATGTTGTAAAGATGTATTAGAACCACTGGGAGGAACCACAAGAAAGAAGAAACAAATCAAAACAACAGAAGAAAAAAAGATCAAATAGTATACTTCGATCTGCATTCAGACTTTTATAGCTCTTTCCTCTGGATGTGGAGAGCATTTTCTATCATGAGTCTTTTAGAGTGGTCTTAGATTAGCCTTGCATTGCTGAGAAGAGCCAAATCTATAAAAGTTAGTCATGGCATAATGTGGCTGTTGCTGTGTACAATGTTCTTCTGGTTCTGCTCCCTTCACTCAGCATCAGTTCATGAAAGTCTTCCGGGTTTTTCTGGAGTACACCTGCTCATGATTTCTTATGGAACAATAGTATTCCATTACATTCATATACCACAGCTTATTCAGCCATTACCCAATTGATGGCATCCCCCCAATTTCCGATTCTTGGCCATCACAGAAAGAGCTGCTATAAATATTTTTGTACATGTGGGTCTACCACATTACTTTTCAATATTCTTTTCAAATATTATCTAACCATCTTCCCATAATCCTTTGGAGATCAACGGATCAAAATTTAAGTTTCCTTCTTTTGTGGTAGACAAAGGACTTGTCCAGATGTGCACCACTAACTAGTGTTGAAATAAACACCGGCAGCTGACATTTCTGTTTCCCAGCCTGGACTGTACGACAGACACTAAATATTCATATTTTAGAATGTGACTGAGTTTTAACAGCTTTATGGTGATGAGAAGTCAAGAACCACAAAAAAGGAAGGCATGTGTATTTCTTGGTTTCCCTTTCCTATTCAACTGGGAAATGGCTTTACATTGCTTTAATAAACGAAACATCACATTTCTTTCCCACTTCATGATTGGGCAGATTGTAGACTCACCTGTTCACATTTCCCAACTGGAAGCAGAAAGAGTTCATTTGTTCAATTTTTCTTGCCTTTCTAACTTGAAAATTCTAGGAGCCCAGAATTTCTTCCTTCTCACTCAGACCTGTTACAAGATATCACTCCTATGAATTACTTTGCTCAGCAATGTCAACCTGACTCCTGCTGGGCAGGGGTAAGGGCAGACGTCTCCAACATTTTTGTAAAATACTTATTTTTCATTCTCCTGATGAAATTTAGAGGGATGAGGGCATAAAGGGTATTACCTGTATGAGGACAGGGGAGAAACACCACGAGCTGCCACTATTGTTCCCATCCTCACTAAGAGTTCTAAGCAAACTATATGGCAGTTTGTAACTGTTTAGAGCTCTAACAGGTAAAATTTTAGGAACTACTGATAGATCACTACTTGTTGGGGACCGGCCATTAGGATATTGAATACTAACTCCATGAATGTTAGAAATTAGTTAAGAATTAGACGTTTATGCATCCCAATTTGTATAAAGACTTTTAAAAATATTTTTTATTTATTTTAGTTTTTCTGAACTTTGTTTATTTTGAATTTAATAAACACCAAGTAAATTAGGCATTTCTGTATACTGAGTAGAATACAAAAAGGTTATACATGAAACTACAGATCTTTATTATGCACAGATCGATTTTCTTTTTAAGTATATAATACATTCAGCTTGTCTTTTTCAAAGCTTTCCTGCTTGCCTGTGCTCCTTTCTGTTCCCCTACCTGAATTTTTTTATGATGTAAGGCCTTTCTTATTCCACTCTTAATGATATCTTCTCAAAGTTCTTAATATGTTATGGGAAAACATAATGATATTTGTGACATTATGTATTCTTTAATCATATGGAATTGCCTCTCTAACAGTATGATGTAATGAAAGGAACCTTGCATTTAGCATCAGAGAGCATGGATTCAAACCTTAACTCTGCCACTCATGCCTTATGTGACTTGAATTCACTTTTTCTTGCTTCAACTCAATATCCTTTTCTATAAAATGAAATTATTAGACTAGATGAACTTTGAGGCCCCTCTTAGTTCTAAATCTGTCTTCCTATGACTTTTAAAAAGGTTGACACTTGGGGTAGGGACTTGTATACGATATTCTGATCTTTCTTAAGCATCATACAAAAGTCAAACTTATCTGCAATATGATAACAATTTATTATAATGTTGCATTATTATAGTATTGCTTCTGATAAATAAATTCAAAAAGGTTCAACTCAGCCCTTGAGTAAGTCATTAAAAACCTCATTTTTAAGGTTTAAGATTTTATGAGATTGTGGCAAAATTACTGTATTCCTAGTCAGAGCAAATTATTTCATGTCCTGCCTTTGCTGCTTACTACTTTTTCACCCTAGGCAAGTCATTCAGCTTCTCTGTAGTTCTATTTCCTCGTCTGTAAAGCAAGATTAGATAAACAATAACATATTTCCTTTCTAGTGCTAAGGCCTATGAGCCAGTGGTGTACACTATCCTTGAATACTGAGTAGAGTTTTGTAGTTTCAGATTTCTAGTCTCTTACTTTTTGAATTGATCTAGAGGAAAGTTACTGCATTGTGTCCAGATGTCTAAAAATTTGAAGCCTGTTACCGGAAAGGATACACTATATTATTTGCAAATTTGTTGGCATTAAGCAAATGCTAAGCGTACACTATAGACAATGATACATCAGGTTAGCAGAGGAGAGTGTTGTTCAAAAGTGTATATTTTGCTGATTCCATAGCAGTGGTCTCAGAAAATATTAATATAGTTTTAATATTTTAATACAATATATACTATATTTAATATATTTAATATAATATATACTATAACTGTAATTTAACTGTGAAATCTGATGATCTGACCACCTTTTCCTCCTAAATACTCTTTCCTCTTTTTTCATGATACTACTCTCTCCTGGTTCACCTTTTACCTGTCTGATTACAGGTTCTCAGTCTTCTTTTTTGGTTCATCATCCATATCGCACCCTCTAACTGTGGATGAGAGTGGGTAGGTGGTTCAGTGGATCAAGTGATGGGTCTGTAGTCAAGATTACTCTTGAGTTCCAGTCTGTTCTCAGACACGTACTAGCTGTATGACTGTGAGCAAATCACTTAACCCTGTTTGCCTCAGTTTCCTCATTTATAAAATGAATTGGAGAAGGAAATGGCAAACCACTCTAGTATCTTTGCCAAGAAAACCCCAAATGGGGTTGTGAAGAGTCAGACATGACTAAAAAACAACTGGATACAACTCTGGATGTTCCCCAGATTTTGTCCTGGGATCTCTTCTCTTTTCCCTCTACTCTCTTTTATGAGGTTGTTGACTTCCATGGACACCCTCTACTGACTCCCATTCCCAACTCAACCAACTTCAGTTTCTTTTAATCATTGCCTCTGGGATAAACTAAAAACTCTGTTTGCTTTTGAAGTCCATCACAACTTGACCCCAACCTATCTTTCCAGACTCACTGGATATTACTTCACTTCCAGAACTCTGAGATCCAGCCAAACTGGTCTTCTCTTCTTTTCTTCATTCCATTTCTTTTCTCTCTGCTTTTGTGTTGGCCATTCTTTAAGCCTAGAACACAATTCCTTCATATCTCTCCTTCATAGAGTCCCTCACTTCCTTTAAGATACAGCTGAAACCTTTGCAGTTCCTCTCAGCTTCTAGTGCTCTCCCTCCCAAACTACTTGCATGTAACTACTTTGTGTGCATACGTATTTATTAACTTTAGATTTATGCTATATATGTGTTTCTACATGTGTGTATAGTTATATTTAAGTGACTAAGAGTTAAATGATTTACCCAAGGTCATGGATTTGAAGTTCTAAAGTGGCATGGTTCAAAGACCATGATTTGAACTCACGTCCTCTGATTCTAAATCCAAGGCTCTTCACACTCTCTCATTATGCCTCTGTTTCTCCAACATGAAGCACTGTGCTTTGTACATAATATATATAAATTACAAAGCCCTGGAAACAAATTTTGAAATATCAGCAGTTCCTGTCAGTATCAGTTCACCTTTCTGATGCTAAACACTCCCTCCTTAGACTTAACCTACTTATCTCCATGAGTGACTCATATATCCCACTCTACAACCCTTAAACCTGCTATGTCCTGGGATTGGCTGTTACTGCTTTAGCAGAAGCACATAAGAAGCCTCTTATATGCTTTTGGTGTTATTAGTTTCAAAAAGTGTTACTTCTTATAGGATTAATTGAAGAAGGTATAAAATAGATCTCTTCACACACAATTGACTTCAGAATGTCACCTAGGTTGTCAAGGGAGCAAATTCTTGACAGTTTTAAAGTTTCTTTATTTTTAGTGCTTTGTGTCTGTTATTCTAACTCTTTGCCTGGCTAATGATCCTATGATTTGCTTTGCCTTCCAGTATTTATATGTATTTCATTACTTGTCTGTTTAATACTAAGCCCAGTCCTATCCAAAGATCACTGAATAAGTCTTGACTGTATGCCTAAAGTTCCCTTGATCTTTGCTCAATAAACACTGTTGCTTAACTGAGCTAAGCTAATGTTATAGTGGCTCATAAACTATTGATATCTTAAAGAATTTAAAGGAGTAGTCTACTTCAGTTTAAAAAGCACAAGGAATGAAAGAGCAGTGAAGGAAACTGAAAAATTATATCCAGCGATTTTTAAAAAATCAATAAATAACAGAATAAATGAAGTTAAGAAAAGTTTGATGGACAACCAAAATAAATGTGAAAGACAAGTTCAGGATGCAACAGACTGGAAATATTAATCAATGTATGTATAGGACAAAATAACACATACAGTAGATAAATCAAGAAGCATAGGTATTTCATTAACTGTGATCCCAGAAAACACTGATTTTTTTTAAAAGCTAGGTACTGTATCCAAGGACCTACTTAAAAAACACTTTCCAGAATGGACAAGAACAGGCAGTGTTCTGCAACTAGAGAGGATATATGGAATTCAGGGAAACCCCAAGTTTAATTTACCTAGAAAGATAATTGCTAAACTATACAGTTATAAAGACAAAAAAGTTGCTAAATGTTGAGAAAGAAAAAAAAAGTTATGTTAAGTCAGAGTAACATTGGACTTAAATTCTTAACAAAATATTAATTATATTTATATATGTACATATATATTTAAGTCTGTTACTGATGGTTAAGATTAGTTAAATATAGATATGCTAGACAAAAAAACCTCTACACACAAGGGCTTACATTTTGTTGGGAAAAACATATAAGTAAATGTGTTACAGAACAAATATATACAAAATGAATGCTAGGAAGTTGGATATTCTGTGCATTTGGGATGGGGTTAGGAAAGATTTTATTTAGAAGGTAGTACTTGAACTATATCTCAAAGAAAGTAAAATCTTCTTTAAAGTGGACATGATGGGGAAGTACATTCTGTGTGGAGCACAGCCAGTTCAGGCATGGAGATGGAGTACCATGTGTGAGGAATAAATAGAAGGCCATTTTGCTTGAACAATAGAGTTAAGGAAAGGAGTGATATATAATGAAGTGGGAAAAGATAAGCTGGAGTGAGGTTGTAAAGGACTTTGGAAATCAAATGGAAGGGTTTATATATAATCCTACAGGCAGTGGAGGGGCACTGAAGTTCATTGGGTAGGAGTGTGACATGGTTGGATCTGCATTTAAGGAAAATCATATTGGTAGCTATTTAGAGGATGGGTTGGGATGGAGAATCATCTGAGAAAGGAAAACCATTTAGGAAGCCACTGTAACACTAAAATACCTCAATAAATTAAAACCCATGATAAACAATGACAACTTGGGAACCTGGCAATTGCAGAAGCAAAATGTCTTTTTCTATAATAAAAATGGATTTAAGCCTCAAGAAAATATCAGAATTAATAGGTTTCTTTATTTTTTTAAAGAGATACAACTTGTTTCATTTACTTTTTTAGCTGTTGTAATAGAAGTAATATAGTAAGATAAGTTTTGCAACTTTAATGCAACATTAAGAACAGTAATTAAATTATAGAAGGCCAGTTGAATGTATTACTTATAACAGTATATGTGAATGGTCTGAATTTCCCCATTAAAAAAAAAAAGTCCTCACATAATCAAGAAATAAAAGCCACTGATATGTTTATTGAGTAAAGCATATTTAATGCAAAAAGATGTAGCTAGATTAAAATGAAAATATTGGTCTAAAATGTGTCATAAAACTGTAAGTTCAGAAAAAAGCAGAAGTGGCAATAATTGTGTCAGTTAAATGGAATTCAAATTATAAAACATCAGAAGACAAGAAATCATAATGGTGAAAGGAAAAATTAATAAGAAATATATAATAATTCT